GGCTTAGCCTGATGCATCTGCCTGGATGCTCCAATCAGCCAAGCGCCAAGGAAGATGAAAAGTGCGTGTGAATGTTGCACTGCCATCTTGCAGTGCTGCTTGTAGCACAAAAAGCAGAACTTCATTCAGAAAATTCATTCAGAAATGCTAAGAAAGTACTGTACCAAGACTTCCTTTCCTGTTAAGAAGATGATGCGTGTACGTACCTTTTGTGGGTGCTCTTGAAGCCTGACTAAAGAATTTGCATATCATTCATTAAGTTGTTTGCACCTGGGCCAGGCTCTGATCCCCACTGCAAGGAATTTTACACCCATTTTATTGTATTTCCCCTGCACAGCCTTTAATTGCTCCCCCAAACTGTAGAGGATTTCATTCTTTCCATTTTTTTTCCCCTCTCTCACACTTCAATCCCATCTTCTCTGGAAACATTTGTATATGCTGGCAGCTTTTTATAGCAATGTCTCTTCTAAATACATTTTAATCCACAAGATTTTTGTTCAGAATCACTGTGATACCAGTACGTTTTGAGATATGTACCTTTTCTGTGTGTGATAGTACATTTATTTTTACCCATCCATGAGTGATTGGCGGAAAATTACACTTCTATGGGTGCAGACATTTTTGGCAAAAAAGATGAGAAACATTCTTATTCTCAAAGATTTTTCTTCATTGTTATGCTGGACAACAGATTACACAGAAATTATTCCTGATAATTTACAGAATTACTTTAACTACCTATTTTTAAATATTGCAGCTCATGAAGTTTTCATCAAAGCTGCTCTCCCATGATAACACTGCTTGCATAAGAAAGCTAATGCTGCACTCTTAGGTGTATTCTCATCTTTTTTTCTTACTCTTTTTTTGTAGGTTTAAATAAAAGTTGTAAAGTGGGGATTTTTTTTTTCTGTAGGTGTTTAATAAATGTTTCCATCAAGTAAATGCACTTGGTGGTTTATAATGGCCATCTATCTTTATGTATATATTGTAGAAGATTTTCTAGCAGAAAGCCTTCAATCTTTAAGTATCTTTGCTTAAGGCATGTACTCTATTTTCCTTCAAAGAGCCCTTTCAGAGGGGAAAGGATACTTGCCATTGAAAGCAGAGGAAACAGCAGTGATCAAATTCTGTAACTTAATCCAGTAGTGCAAGCAAAGGTAGCCACGACATCCACCCTCAAAGCATTGCTTTAAACAAATCTCCAAGAACAGCCAACCAGTGCTGATTTTCACTAGAAGAGTGGATAAGTCTGGTGCACCATTGCCACTTACTGCAATGAGCAGAGTTCCTCACTGTAACCTATAACAAATACTTCATTCAAGATCACTACCTTTAATGTTAAAAAGTCTCAAAGGACTGCCATATTCTTCTAGTTTTCCTGGCATGCACGGGATATATTTAAGCACTGATTTTCCGTTCTTTCAGAACCTGTCTGATGGTTCCTGGTTGCTAAGACACTGGTAATATAATCTGGCCAAATTTAGAAGATTCTAAGAAAAATGCTTGTAATTGTAGCAGCTCAAAACTTTGGCTGTTACTACTCTAGTACTAACCTTGGTAATGCTTTTTCAAAATAAATATTTTAAGCAGGCCTTGTGGCAGAGTGCGTCATTCTGATTAATTTATGCAACAATGTGACAGTTGTTTTAATGCATAGCAATCAGAAAACTTTCCAGATCTATAAAACATCAGCAGATTTAAGCTTCCAATAAACACCAATGTCTATTTTTACATCTCAACTTCCATTTAACAGAAGGGAAATAAGTCAGTTTGCAGCTGCTGAATACCAAATAAAGAGCTTCTGTTCTACTTACAGTGTGGGAGGTGTATCTCGCCACATTGTTTTTCATCTGGACTATTTCAATCATGAAAAGAAAATCAATCATTTTTATCAGAGAACTACCCAGACATCAACAATTTACCTCTTGCTACAGTACTGACACAAAACCATCTTAAAATCAATGATTTAACCAAGCACTGGGTCATGAATGAAGGAGTCACGAATAAAGTAGTATCACATTAACATCAAAGGCAGGATGTTTAGAGCTTTCTGCATTCTGGCCATTGCCTTGTCTTTACATACCTGCTCCAGTCTTTTTCTGAGCGAAGCTAGGTCATCATCATCCACAGGAGCAGGGCTCCTTTCACAGCTGGATCAGGCTACTCAGAGCTTTCTCCTACTCTTTTGAAGGAGTTCCCAGTCTTCCCAGGCAAATTGTTCCAGTTTATAACCTCTCCTAACACAAAGAAATTTTATTTTAAATCCAGGTGGATTTCCAACGGCTGGTGTTCCTAGTCCCATTAGTGTGCATCTCTGAGAAAAATCTCTACAAGCACACAGGAGGCTGAGTAGGCATCATTTATGTCCCCCATTGGCCTTCTTTCCTTCATCCTGAAAAGATTCAGCTCTGCCAATCTCTCTTTGCAAGCTATATGCTCCAGCCCTCAGACCATTTGATGGTCCACTCCTACAGGTTGTCGACATCTCTCCTTCAATGAAAGGGTACAGAACTGCCTATACTTAAAACACTGCTTTACGAGTGTAAAATTCATGGGGGAAAAAAAAAATAAATCATTTTTCTTGGCCTGCCATCCATGCTTGTAATAGAGTAGCCTAGTATGCAGTTGGTCTTGACAAGAGCATCTGGCTCCACAAGGAAGCTGCAAAATTTAAGATACTTATGCAGAAGTTTTTAAAATATAACTAAATTTCCTGAGGTTTTTTTTTTTTTTTTTTTTTTTTTTTTTTTTTTTAAATACACCATACTGTGAAGGCAGCCTTAAAACTGTCAGAAGGACTCCCTGGAGCCACATTTTCATATAAGAGGTGGGAGCCTGTCAGGCTCTACACAAAGCAGCCCCTGGGACAGGAACAAAATGAAGCTACATACAGTCAGAACTGCAGAGGAGGTTGTCTGCAAACAGACATGGAGAGGAGCAGCTTCCAAAGAAAGAGATTGGATAAAATTTAAGAACGATAGATACCTCCCACTGTGTGACTTGACCTATCAGGTTAGTAATAGGGGAAAATTACTCCTCATAATTTTTTAAATGGGAAGGCATTACCTTTTTGTCCAGATTAGAGCATTATAAAATATTTCTGCTGCACAATATAAGTGAACATACCCATTAATAAATCTGTGAAGATATGCTAACGCCGGCTTACATTAAGGAGAGCATTGCCAGCAGAAAATTAAATATAATTAATGGGAACACATCAATAGACCAGGGCCAGAGGGAAAAGGGACATTCTCTCCATTGATCATTTTGTGGATTAACTGCTGACACGCTCTAAGGACGTGTCAACTGTTACTGTCTTTATAGAAGTGATTTCATGCAAGATAAATTCCATGTAACTGTGAGTATGCATTGCAAGAAATAATTATTCTGATCACATATACCAAATTAATCAGTATAATTTTGAAGGCTAAAAGAGAGCTTAAAATGTGATATGCAACAAAGGCTTGTTGAAGTCTTCCAGTATGAGAAATAATAATAGATAAGTAGGTATATAGATAGCTGATTTACCAGTATTAAAATACTCAGTTTCCAAAGGCCAGGACAAGTCACACTGAGAAGGTGAACAACATCTGTAGCATCTGGAGATCCAATTTCAGAACAGCAATACCATGGAGACATTCAAAATTATTTTTCAGATCTTGTTCACTGTGTACCTCTACTTAGTTTGCCATTATGTGAACAAGTGCTTCAGCACTATGAGTGTAGCTACCTTCTGGCTTTCACAAACTTACAGAGACCTGCAGATTTTCTTTTTTATTTTCGTTTATTTTTCCCCCCCACAAAGTACAGTTGTCTAAATGAAAACCATCCCTTTTCTAGGCAAAAGAAAAAAGGACCTGCTTGTTGGTGATAGTTCACCTGAAACAAAGCATCTTGCACCAGTCCTCTAAAATCTTTTGTACTCTTCACCACTGCTGTAACCAACACTTACAAATACTGCACCAATACTTTTCTCACACTCCAATGAGAACTCTCAAAAGCTTGCAAAACAGCCCAAACGAGCAAACTTACTCTTTCAACCAGCAGCACAACTATCCTTCCATCCTTCTCCATATTGTAACAAATGCTCAATTGAAACCAATGCAAATAATGGAGAGAGGAGACAAAAAAATGAAGATGATGATGATCACCGGTGTCTGTCATGCAAAGCAGCCATATCCCATAGCTTATTCTGATGCTTAGATGTTGAAGCATGTTTGAGGATAGAAAGAAAGCAAAAAAGAAATAAGACTTCAAATCACAGATGAAACTGCAAGAAGAATTTGCACAGAAGTTAACAACTGTGAACCAAGAGCTGCTGTACTGCTTTTGAAAATAAAAATAAGAAAAGTTGATGCTTTAGTCCTGCTGTCCATATTCATTTTTGATACATAGAATGGCTCATAATATTACTACACAAATTAGTATCGTAGAGAAAAAGGATAAATATCAAAATAAATCTCAAAAAGGCATAGATGGCACATGTAATGCTTCTAGATGAGCTTTTATTACTATTCTCAGATGGTTTCCCTTAGCACCCCAGCCTACAAACAGCGTATAACTAACAGCCAAGGTCAGGGTAGCTGCTGGACACCACTGCTAAACATTAAATAATTTTAGGGTAAAATGCTGTGTAAATGGAGACAATTCAACAGTGATCATTACTTTTTCTACCTGCTGAAAAATGGGGAAGAAGTGAGCTTCTGACCTGTACAAGACATGAACTCCATCTAGAAAAAAAAAACTTTATAGATACTACTTCAGTCTGCCTTATGGTTCTAGGTTCCAATATCCATTACATAAAACTATAATTAAAGTACATCAAGTAAAATTCAGCAGAGTACAATGAAGAATTGCTCCATAGAATCTCTTTTCAATGAGATGTAATTGAATATATGGTCTTTATTTCTTTCATATCACCCACGTCTTTGTGCTGCACATATTGGCACCATTCAAGTCATAGAGATTTGGATCAAAACCAGGTTTCA